ATATCGGACACAAACAAAATAAACAATGCAATGTTTACAGCAAACATAGTCATGATTTTATTCGAATACTGCCTGACACATGTGATGATACATCAATTAACTAAACTGAGGTTTTATATGTGCTTTTTATATGTTTTTCAATGCACGACCTCCCTCTTTCACGACATACCTCGGTAAGTCGCGGCCCTCGATAAGTCACGGTTTTTGCTTGGATCCCGACACCCGCGACTTAGCGAGGGGTCACTGTATAAGTATCTACATTTAACTTCATTGATAAATGACCTTTATTTATGAACCACATACCATGGTATGTAATGACAATTGTGAGTTTACTATGAAGTGTATATTAGCGCTTGCATTCAATATATATTATACACAATGAAATATCCATTCTGTAAAGTTCCCAGATAAATTAAATACCAGTGCACAATTATATATGTTTTTTATTTGTGTTATTACACACGACAGGGAAGTACGTCAATGTAATATGTATACAATTTGCTTACGTCGAACAGGACTAACGTGCTCCATTCTGTGATTGACTATAGCCTATCGATCACAAGTATATGCATCACCTATGTATTTTTTCTCTATATTGAGTATGTGCCTAAGTCATTGGTCGAACCTTTTGGCGGTCTCCCAGCTATCGACCTATTGACCGCTTACCTGACATAATTATATGTACAATAATAGCTGCTAAGTAAAACCCATTACAATTATGGGAGATTACTGTACATATCATGGTGAGCTGTATTTTAAAACACAAAGGACACTAAAGCATCGACTCTTCGAAGTAGACAGAATTGTGTATGCAAGATATAAACCAGGTATGCCGCCATGTTGGATTTATAGTTTATTAGCAGTGCGAATAGTGGGAAATTACTCTGTGATCTATAACAGCCGTAAATACCAGCAACATTGAAGACTGTTGTTGTCGTGAATAAAGGTGACTTCAAAGTACAAACATTGAAAGTAGATTCTTTGGTGTCTGCGGAAAAGGGAAACAGAGTGCAAGTTGTTGAAATGAATTTGCATATCAAAGTGGAAAATCTCTACTTCATGATATGTTCTTATCGGGAGCAATATCATTACTTTACACATACTGTTGCCAGCATTATTAACTACGCTTTCTATTGTTTGAGTCAAGGGTATAGGCAAATAATACCTTGTTTGTGTACACTATAATAGAATTTTCTACATAAATAACATAATAAAATAACACGATCATATAACCTCACGTGTATAACTTTTACATTTTAAGTAATTTATGATTAGTTCACCCACACACGCACAAAACGCCCATGTGATGAAATCTTTGTCTTGAACGACCAAACACAGTAAAATCGGGAAGCTCGGTATTTCACTGTTCACCGTTTTCCGCTCATTTGTTTAAAAACCGTTGGTAATGAAATTGATATAATCTTGTAGATTAACTTATGGTTTCATCCACTGTCAACTGTTCATGATAACTGCAATAATAACAAACACTATTTCTCACTTCATATATAATTGTTTTCACTATATTTCATAATTTTACACTGCATTGTTGTTAACAGTGTACATGACACTGTTATTATATTCTGACATATTACTCGACTTGGAATAATGCTACAAATTTACAGCTGATTCACGTGAACAAATATTGTTAAATTGACAATACATGAGGCAAGTGCATTTGAAGTGGGATTCAATAGAAAACAAACGTACACAACACAATGCATTTACATATATATGTCTATATATGCATTATGAATATCGATCAAAGTGGAAGTTACTAATAATATTATTCTTATGTTCAGAATAGTGCACCTAACGTTGTTTTTTTGTGTCACCCAGACCCACTGTTTAATGATAATTTTCATTTAATGACAGAAGGCAGCTCATTAGAAAAAGTTGACCGTCGCCACCACAAAGTTAATTGCGTGGAGAGGTCAAAGTGTACCAACCCGGAAACACAGCTAGTGAAATAACGTTAACTATTTCTACAGTCGGAGTAGCTTTCCCCATTGTTGTCTCCGGTAAGTTGGTGTGATTTTATTCGTATAAATATTACAAAACATTTCTATGTCAGTTTTTGCTAATCTCGTCGACATCAATCGCATTTAAATACGTCTGAAAAAATTGCACATACGGAAACCGCCAAACAGATGCCCTCTTCATAGGTAGTATGTAAATAAAAACGTGAATCAAAGTTTATATATTTAAATCTGAGCAATATTAACTTGCCTAGCGTATTTGCTCACGTCAGTGAAGGCGTCGGCGTGTTTTAGTTTGCCCTGTCACCGAAACACTTGGTATTTGTTTTGGAAGATGGGTTTTACCCAAATACATGATACATTGCTGTCAAATTCAAACTATGAGTGTGAAGGGTGTCAGCTGTCGATGTGCTATCGGTGGCCAAATGGCGATATTTACATATCAAATACGTTGATGTCATCAACCTAGGTTGCCAGTAATTACTTCATCAATAAGTGACA